GCCTGTGCATCGTCTTCGGGTGAGAAGGAAACTGCTCCATTCCACAGAGAGGATTTTTCTTCCCCTTTCAAAGAGACATGAAAGTGCAACGTCGCAGGAATGAAGCCATGAGAAGCTTTTTGCCGACAAATTTGGACTCATCTTTCGACCGCTGCCTCGACCGCTGCCTTCCGATGCGTGGAAGAACGTCATTTTCTTATCTAAGTTTCGAGGAATTTTTTTCACCCAAACTACCCCTAAAACCGATTAAATAAATTTTCTCCGTCGACCCACAACGTGATCTTCTCGCTTCGTTCGACCGAATTAAACATGTTGATGAAAGTATCGTCCTTAACCTTGACCTCCATTCATTGAAATTCCGGTCACAAAGGGTTGTTGACGAGAAACGGCATCAGCCATGAACCATGAGCCATGAACGTGAGCCCGTGAGCCATTACCCCTTTGGAAACGTCGCAGTCCCCGGAGCGGACGGTTCGCCACGGGAATTTCAATCAGCCTTCCCCGACGTAAACAAGGCGACTTTTTTCGAACGAGGCAACTTTTTTTTTCGGACGAGCCGACTTTTTTCTGGGAAGAGACGACGTCCCGAAGATGTATTCGTCTGCCGGCGAGGAAACCGCCGAGTGTCACCGCCGTCATGTTTTTCCGGCGTCTCCCGAGAATCCGCACGATCGTTCCGAGAAATCGTCGATGAGGAACGCAAACGCGAGTGTGCGTGAGTGGACTTCGTGTCGAGTCGGTTTTCCGGGAAAATTTTTTCGAGCTGGAATTTCCGAGTTCGCCTGCGTCGTGGCGGATCTCTAAGATCTCGTATTTTCTTTCAACACCGAAATAAAAAGCATTTTAAGCGGACGCACTGTGGAATGCGACGGACACGTGCCCTTAACAGAGAGCTGGCTCGAACACGTGCTAAGAAAAAGTTGGCTCGAACACGTGCCTCGAACGATGAACTCGACGACGCAATAAACTGCTGTTGACGGAAAAGCCGCCGGGAAGAATCGCACTCGGCAACACGATGACGTCACCTCGACCCTCGCTCGGTTCGGTGGCGAACGCGAACGTCTGATGAAGTCCGCTGCGGGAAAAGGCGAGATCGGCACGATGAGGGTCTTCAGCAGCTTTCGTCGTCGAACGTGAGTTTCATCACTATTCGAAGATGCGTGACGAATGTGGATAGAAATCAAGATTTAAAATATGATGAAAATGAGGATAAAATGAGAATGCAAATGAGGATGAAAACGGGGATAAAAACGAGGATGAAAAGGCGATAGTTTGGAAATCGGTGGGGCCGCTGTAACGATTCCTGCATCTTCCAGTTTGTAAAAGCGGTACTCGCACTCCGTGAACACGACCGATGAGGAAAGTCCCGTTAAACGGGGCTCGATCAAATTTTTATATCCGGTCTGGTCGGGAAAAAACTGGTTACGTTCCGAAGATATCGGTGAAAAAGTGGAGGAAAGTGGAAAAAAATGGGGGGAAAATGGAAGAAAGTGGAAGAAAGGATTTCTTTGAATTAGCGAAGCCTGGAAAATGCAAATCGGCGAAGGCGGTGCCATTACGTTTTTGAATGCGTAAAAAAAAAAAATTAATATCGGCATGCGTGGGAGGTGGGTGGCAGGTGCTTGCATGGCCTTGCCTCCATTCGTCCATGCCTCCATTTGTCTGTTCTGACACATCTCTGCAAACCGCCGTACTTCTGCTCCTGCGTACCTCGTGCTGATGATATGATAATATAAACGCGAGAATGAACAGGGAAATGATAGCTGCCGCGGTGCGACTTGAGTGACCTGCAGTACCGCATTTCACTTATGTACTATGTGAGTACTGTATCACCCTTATAGTTTATTTACATGAGGTGCTTCACTGAGCCGAAGATGCAATGGTGGAAAAAAAAAATTAGCCTACAGGTGCTATTCCATGCAACTTGAGCTTACTTTTCAAGTTAATTATTAATTTGAAACGAATTCGTTTTTAGTCTTAAGTTTAGTTATATTTGCTTGGAACAAAGTTGCCAGGTTCCTGACAAGCGTTGGAAATCCTAAGAAAAAAGGCGAAGCCGGGCTGGAAGAAGTAGCTGGTGAACTTCTTGCCAAAAATTTACTTACTTTAAAATAATAACTAGTATAAGCTCGAAGTTACCACAATATTGAAGTTGAGTAAAAAGTTACTTCAAAGTTTACCGAATTACATGTGACTTGTTGCAAGCCAACTCTGCAAATGATATGCCTGCAGCCCTCTACTCTCCCCCTCCTCCTTACCTCCTCCTTCTTCCCCCCCTCCTCCCCCTCCTCCCTCTCCCCCACCCTCTTCCCTCCCCCCTTGGTGAGCGAAGTCCCGCTTGTTCTGTAGCTGCACCAACTTTCGCCTCTTCATCGAATGACTAATGGCAGTAGTGGTATATTTACAAGCGGCCAGACGTAGAAGCCCCGAAGCCATGCATAGGCCACAGACAAGCCAACTGACAGCTACTCAACTAAGAAGGCCCCCAAAACCTGAGCGAGATGGCGCTTAAATAGTCGTTCTAGCGAGTCCATCCAAGATCCTACTAAAACGAGCATCCCGTATCTTTCGTACGGTTCCCTGTCGTTTCTCTCATAGATCTTCGGGAACACGATGGAATTCCTCGACACATTTTTCTCAAGATGTAACCCAGCTCGGGGATACGCCAAACAATTCTGGGCCCAGAGAGTACTGGAAAGAAGATGGTTGCAGAGTTCTCGAGATCGGGTGTAGTGAAGGTTGTCCCATTGAAGGAAGAGAAGCGAGTTACTGTTCTCCGGTACACGACAGTTTTCTTTCCAAAAATGAAGAATTACGCCAACGTCGCTCCAAGTTAGGTCGCAGTAGAATCCTCGTGCACCACGGCAATGTCACAGCAGTACGGACATGAGATTTCATGGCCTATGAAAATGTTCAGCTACTGACCCACTCTCCCTGCTGGCCCGATCTTGCTCCTCGTGATTACTTCCTTTTTCTCAAGGTAAAGGAGGATGTGACAGAGAAACTATATCACGGCGACGACGAGGCAGAAGGTTAATGCTCTTCTTCGAGGAAAATTGTCAGTCCCGACGAGTGACGAGACGTCTTCAGAGTGGAAGACGTGTATCGAAAGGTGGTTTCATCGAATGGAACAGTGTGTTAATTGGCAGTACTTTGAAGGACCATGGCCTTTCATTGCCCTTGAACAACTGCGAGTGCCTCATTTTAAAAACGAACGGAATGACCCTCGTACTCTCTGTATTACGGTTGCTTTCAAAATGTTTTATACCTCTGAGGAGGGCGTGACGATACGATCGAATCGGCCATAGTGATGTATCGAACACGACTTGTTGTTTAGAGGTGCCGGTCGGCCAGAGTCTACAATAACTGTAGCTGTAACTGCAATAACCAGTCCCTGTTTCCTATGGACGCATTGCATCATCTATCTTTCGATGGAGACAGTACAATGTTTTCCACTTGAGTCAGACATTTTTCCTCTTGACTCGAATGCCCAGGCACGGGAAGTACCCCACAGCATGTGTCCGTGTAAAGCGAAAAATTGTCTGTCGAAAAACATTGTAGTTCTGCCGTCTGCCGGAATGACCACGGAAAACTGTCTTCTCCTGCAAGGATGAGAAAGAGAAATCCGGAAACGTCGTCACGTGAAGCAAGGAAGAATGCGAGGCCTGACAATTTCTCATATGTTGAGTGATCCCATAAAAAGTCGCTCTCAGTCGCTTTGTTCATAGTCTAATATAGTATAATATAGTCAGTCTAATATACATTTGGCGCCAGAAGATTTCAGGCGGGAGTTTGGTTAATAAGGGAAATGAAAATGCAATGAAATCTGTTGGTCTACAGAGAAAGTGGGCGGGAACATCACAGTACTCCTCTGCATACATGACGCGGAGAGCTCTGTGTTAAAGAGGGCGCTGGCTACTTCTTCCCCCCCCCCCCCCCCCCCCCCCCCTCCCCCCCCTAGTCTCAGTCTCAGAAAGTCTCACCCGGGTTGAGGAAGGGATAGTGTCCCCTCAGATATGGGAGAATAAATGCTATCAGTCACTCAAGTCACTCATGCCACTCGAACCTCCTCTCTCACTCTCTCTCACTCTCGTATAGGTAAATTGCATCGAAAAGAAGTAGCTTTCGCGAGTTCATATTGGCTCTTCTCATCTCCCAGGAAATGTGAATTATTTCTAATTCTGTTTTTGAATATGAATACTCACTGCTATGGATTACCATATTAGGAGCTTGAAATAAAAAATTATGTGCTCTCAGACTTACCCCGACGCCCTCACCAGGACTCATGAATGTTATCTGCGCAGAAACATTTTTTATGCTTGACAGTTTGAGGGGAAGAAAAAAATAGAGGACTCCTTGACGTTTTTTATTTTATTTGTTTTCGTTTTACGTCAATGGTGGAGTGATAACGAGGTGCATTCAACCCTTGGCTCCCGTCAAGGTTGCCCCGACCCGACAACTTCCTGTCAAGGCCGGTTTCCAATTACGTCGTTTCCCCTCGCCCTTTCGCTTCATTGTCATGCACCTTGTAGTAAACAACGTCCTCCGCATTCCATCCACCTCTATCCACACATATTCAAGGAGAGACGAAGGGGGGAATGGCCGACCTTCATCTTTCCTCCCTGGCGCCTTCACTTCCATCGAAAACTCCTTTCCCCGCTTCAGTTTCAACTGGTTACCCGCTTTTATTTTTCTCATCCTCTAATCTATCATTTGAGAAAGCATTCCAAAAATATTTCTGACGGTTGACCCTGGGATTTGGAGATATTTTGTTATCTCAGGTTCTAGCGTCAAGGACTCTTCGCTAAATTTCCATTAACAGCTTTAATTATTCGATTCCCTCTGAAGCAGCCTTCCCCAACCATGTATTGAGAAAAGTGTGGCATTCATCTTGAACTCATGCATAGGCTAAAGAGGTACTGCTCAGTAGATGGCAATATGGTGGTCAAGTAAAACACTTAATACCATAGTTCATCATGAAAATCATTTTTGCTAATTCTCTTATATCATCATATCAAATAAGAGGCAGATGATACACTCCTGCCGCATCGGTTGCAGGTATGCACATAAGGTGTTTGTGGTGGCGATCTGGGATTTTTTACTCATAGAATAAAAGAATAAAAGTTGTTGATGCATTCGTCCATTGGGCACATTGTTCTTTGAAATTCAAAGACGCTTGAGATGTGACGATGGGTAGGTTTCAATTATTTTTCAATGATGGCATTTATATTCTTTTCATTCTACATTTTTTTTAGTCCATCCAGTTTGCTAATGCGTAGGAGGATCTTGAACTATCACGTGTTAGGGCACTTAGAAAAGACGCAGTTTGTGTAGGACGTACACGTGAAGGATGAAGCGCACCCTCGTTCGTTAACCTCTTCTAGAAATTCCAGGAATCTTAGTAATCGAAGATCTAAATGCGTAATTCAGGGTGAATCTGCGCAGGAACGGAACAGGATTTAATTTGATACCGTCGTCTTCCTTCTCAATCATCCTGATGGAAGAAGCTGACTAGTCGGTCCAGGTTGTAGTTGTCGAGGATTTCCAGTAGTTGAGGGACACGACCTTTCACATTGATTCCTTGAAATTTGAATTTGTCAATGTATAGGTCTGTGATCATGCCTGGAAAGGAAAGAGGAAACTTCAGAGGACCTAAGTTTTCCTGGTTCATGATTAATGCCGTAGCGGAGCGGACAAGGACAAGAAAGGTAGGGGAAAAAAAAAACAGCTACAAAAAAATCTGACCCTGAACCCAGACAAAGGTTCCAGATTCCCGTCAGTCTCCTGTCTGGAGCGACAGTAGCGGAAAAAAAAAACAACTACTAAAGTCAACGCACTCCGAACACGTGACATGCAGAAAAAACTGAAACCCAGCTACCAGTCATATTTTAGAAATCGTTGAACTCACTCACCGTAAAGGCGTTCGAGATAGCATGGCTGCTTGTGAAAGAGAGCAAGGAGTTCGTCGGCATGAGCTAAGATGTCCTGGTATTCGGGAGAGAGGGAATCGTGCGAGCCTTCGTTCATCACTACCTCCCGGAGTCCGTCGATGAGTTGAACCTTTTTCGCCAGGATCAGGTGCTCCTCCAACTTGGGATGCAAGAGATGCAGCGTGTGAGACACGCTCTCCTCGCATACATCTGAGAAAACACCAAATTGTCAACGTTTCTGCACGTCTCCTCTAGTACGACTCTTCGTTGGCGAATGCGAACATATCAAGTATGGGAGTGAAAGTCTCAGTCTCAGAAAGTCTCACCCGGGTTGAGGAAGGGATAGTGTCCCCTCAGATATGGGAGAATAAATGCTATCAGTCACTCAAGTCACTCATGCCACTCGAACCTCCTCTTTGCTAACAATTTGTCATTCTCACTTTAAAATGTATTGTCTCTTTACCATTAGTTAATTTTGCAACGCAATGCTTCGTTCCGCATACCCGGTCTTATCGTTACGTTTACGTCAAGTGTCGGAGCGCAGCTTCCCATACTTTTTGGTAAGTTTTGCAAAATCAAATTGTGTCAAAGAAGGGATTCATCAATGATTCTGATTTAACCAAAGAACATTTATAAACGAAACTTTTATTCTCCTGTTTACAATACTAGATTCTCCAGTATGCCAAATGTTATCACTCTGGAGCATTCATCCAAAAATTTTTTTTTCGCTTTCGCTAAGAGGAAGAGCGAAAGGAAACAGAAAGAGAGTGAAAATTGCCAAGATGTAGAATTTGTAAAAATAATTAATGCATTTAAAGAGAGGAACTACTGTTCCCTCTTTAGTTCGTAAAAGTTGATACCAAACTGAATATCAGCAATAACTTAGATGGTATTTGTGAAGTGTGTGAGGAAAGGCATCTGTATGGCAAAGGTACCTGAGGGAAAGAGGCACCTGAAGAGGTAGGAAGATTACTGGACAAATGAGGGCAAGAACTTGCATAAATTTATCGCTTTTGGAAATACGGGCTTTATGAGGTATACAATTCAAAACAAGAACATTGAAACTTAACAAATGAGAAAATCTGAAATTTAGGGGTGAATGAAAGAGAGTGTTTCACGGCCTTGGCCCAGGGCACACAAAGGATTTTCGCTATTTCGATTCTAACGACTCACCACAAGCTATGTCCAACTTAGTTTTGTTCTTGGTGGCCTCTTTACTGATGACGTCCTTCAAAATGGAGATGGTCGAGACGTTGTCTGACTTGAATTGAGCCTCGTGTTCCCTTTAGAGTTATAAAGCATTCATTAAGGACAGCCGGATTCGGTGAGTACAAAAAGCAAAAGAAACTCACTTTAAGCGGCATTCGAGCATGGTGTCCAGGAAAGTGGAGGTAAAAATATAGACGATTTCATCGGCGGCAGGGGTTCGTTGAGGCACCTCGGGGAGACAGAATGCCACCCAGGAATGTACCATGGCAAAGCTGAAGTCTCCTTTCAGTCTCAGCACGTTATAAGGCCTGCCCACAAAACAACCGCCTGAAAAGCTTCAGCCTGAGCATGGGATCTACTGAAGAGGAGCGGAGGGGATGTACCGATTCTGATCGAATTCGTGAATTCGGGTATGCAGGGATAAAGGCTTGATCTGGTATTCCCGGACCTGAGACGTTTTCGGTTGAAGCCTGGGTATCACATAGGCTTTGATGCTTCCATATTGGCCTTCGATGCTGCGAATCTTCACTTCCAGTCGCGTTGTATTCGCTTGGCATCTGTACGTCGCTAGCATGTAATTCCCACTCTATGAAGCATAAACATCAAGCTGAATTGAAGCCAAAGCTGCTGCAAAGCTAAAGTGTTAGTATCTGATAGGTAAGATGCAAGAAATTAAATCAAATTGAATTCAGTCATTTTTGCATGAGAATTTGATCAATTTATTGTATTTTTTCTCACAGAAGTTTAAATGAATGCATTCACTTTCATATAATTTAAAGCCCATGCCCGATAAAAGAGAAAATTATTGGAGGAGTTCTTCCGGTTTTCCTTGCTGCCATACACTAAAATTATTAGGGGGTAATTATGCGAATAAATTGTAACCCACGAAGAAAATTAATTCATCACAAATAATTTTTATTGTATCATAGACATAGGCACATCCCAGAATAACTCCAAAGTAGCATTTAAAAGATTTATGAGACCCGAGAAAAGATCCATCCCATTATGAGAAGGCAAAATAAAATTCGTTTTCATTTGTATAGAGGCCAATTTTTTTCCAAAATTTCTCCCTCGGAAGTTTCTCATATTTCCTGCAGTAATTCTCGGAAATAATTTATTGGAATGGTAGGAAGTATTATTATATTTCATCGTGCAACCGAGTAATCCAGTATTCACGTAGGACACCCATACCGCCCATGGGAATGATGGAGCCTTCTTCGTGAGTTGGAAATGTCACATCTTGTTATGGAAGCTATAGTTCAGATTCATTGATTTTGTGGGGAGTAGATACGGGGAAAGGCTTCGTATTTCTTTTGTGCGGGTGCTGTTACGACTGTCAAAGGTTGAAGTTTGCTAGGATTTGCGTCACCATGAAAATTCTTATAAAAACGGGAGAGAAACAGCTGTTATGCCGAGTGGGTGCAGTCGACGAAAGCAGGTTCTTTTAGGCGTAATGCAAGAGCTCGTAAGCCCTTGGGGTTCCTTACGATATCTGAGCAGAAAGAATTCGAGAGCATCATCTCATTAGTGTGCGACGTGCGTGCGAAAGTATCTAGGGGGAACCTATTCAAGTGAGGGAATGAATCATGCCGGCGGGGCTGCTGCAGCCCTTTTGTACAACGTAGCATCGAACGTGATCAAAGCTGCAATTTTGGACAAATGCATATTTTTCTACTGTATGCTAGACTTAGTCTTTACATCTGCCGCGATTGGATGTAACTCACCTCAGGATCACAGTGAGAGAAGCTGACGACAGCAGAATTCTTCTCCACATCCAAGATGTCTACTGGGATGTCACTTTGCAGGAGAACGATTTCGATCGGGGTTTCCACTTCTAAACTCAGGATGTAAGAAGCTTCATCCTTATTTAGGATCATCTGTCCCCATAAATACATAAGCACTGACAAGAAGCTTTCGATTTGGGAGAAAATTTGCATGTATATATTATTAATGGTGTCATACCTTATCATGGATGGAGAAGAAAGGGACGGCAGAGATGCCGCTTGTAGTGCTTTGAGTCGCCTGTTGATACTTCTCTCTTTCTCTTGCCACTTTGGCTTGCAAGTCCTCCAGTTCTGCTCTGCATCGTTCAGGGAGCGATCAGTTTCAGAGTTCGGTAGCGCGAAACTCCAACAAATCGATCAAGCTTCTCATGCACAAAGAGCTCACCGCAGGGCAGTGATGTGTTTCTCCATCTCGTTCGAATCGCCAGACATGCGTGAGTATAGTAGATTCGGCGAGCACGTGCTCAATCCAAAAACTTTGCCTGGCAGAATGTGTCAAATCAAAGCTCTCACATGCGTGATTTGTCGAAGCAATTGAAAAGTTTGAATTCTAGCAAAAAATGTTCATGCACTGAGCCATGCAAAATCTCATTTCACTGAATGGCTTCTACCTGAGGTTCAGGATCCTATTTTTCAAATCCTGATTCTCGGACGAAATAGCAAATGTGACTGTCTCTGAATCACGAAGAATCTTGATAGGTGCTTCATGGTCCTCAGTTGTCAAGCCAAAGATGCAGCCTTTTCGGTCAAAAGACTTTAATCAGCTTGGCTGACCGCTAGCATGTCAACCTTGATTTTGTGAGCAAGAAGGATCGTGAATATAGATGAGTGCTATTATAATACCTGAGAAAGTAGCCGCCACAATTTCTCGGTAGCCTTCGGTGCTGCCAATCACTCCACCTTGGACTGACGTAATGCTTTCCCCTGCCATCTGCAGAGAAACCATTTGATCAAACGTTTAGAGGTATATAATATTACATGAATGGAATGAATGAACGCTTATGGGAGAGACATCATCACAAACAAGCGCTTTGAGTGGCCACTGCCCACCTCAACTTTCAGTGAGACCGATCAGAATGTGCATTCCCTAGTTACTTCACTTTAAACATTAAAATGTTAAAGTCCATTGGGGACTAATTTTGCAATAGTCAAACCTTTTCTTTCCACTTCTGATGACTGCAAGAATAAACATGGCTCTGAGTTATCAGAGTCTTACACTTTTACTGTCATGCATGCACTTCCAAGGGCTAAAATTTGAAGACTATTGGAGTCTTGCGTTCTACTTACATGAGAGCACTTGAGGACAGGTTTTTCTCCCTCCTCGTACGAGTAGACTTCAATGCTTCCATCATCTCGACCCACGATGAGTTCCTTCACTCCATCCCCCGTCAAGTCGTAATGATCCATGCAATTCACACTCCCATAATGATTTTCATCCCATATCGTCCATTGCAGGATCGCACATTGCCTAAATCCCAGAGTAAATGCTATCGCCTGTAGTCCTGGCGTTACAGGACGGGAAGATCTCTTCTGATCCAATTCCTTACTTGTTGATAGAGACCATTCCGATGTGACCTTCCTGAGTGCCATACAGGACATTTTCTCCAGAATCTCCTCCGTCTCCTCCAGCTAATGTAAGGCAGGTGGGCCGTCCTTCCAAACCAACCTCGTAGAGGAGATTTGAACCTTTCAAAACACGCAAGGTTCTGTCTGCACACGCCAGCACAGGCCGTAAACCTTCAGTCTAAACCAACAGATGTACAAGGAAAACAAGTTGAATATTGAGATTTGAAGAACGAGTTGATTCTTCGTGGATTCACCTTCTCAAGAGGTAGACAGACGATGTCGAGGATCTCATCCTTTGCCAGGTAATGATTAGTTTCCACACAATCATCGTACTGGGTGTAGACATAGTTTGCCCCAACCAACAGGTGGGTTCCAACGACTTTCCTTTAAGGAGAGAGTAGAGACAAATGAAGCATCGTTGGGTATGAGTCGGTTCGGGAAGAAATGAATTGGCTGCATACATCACTCGAATGTCTTCGGAAAAATTTGTATCAAACCCAAGGAACTGCTTTCCCTTTTTTGTATATGCTCTCACGGTCGATCCAGCTGAGATAAAAATCTTATCCTGCAAGGCGCCTATGAGATAACCACATAAATCAAATTCTTCCTCTTTTCTGAAAGGTTACCAAGCAGTACGATACTCACCAGGGGCCCCCGCTAGTTCCAAGCACCTTATTTTATCACCTGGAATGGTCTTAAAAAGAAGCACGGGTTCGGTCCTCTTCATACCGAAGACTTGGAGCACTCCATTGGAATCGCCTATCGCCACCTACACAAAACATGTACGGTTAAGGCAGGTCTCGTCGAGGAATGTGCTCGATATAGATTGAATGAAAGGCTCAAACTAACCTTCTGCTGGTTCTTCTCTCCATCTTCGGGTAAAAGGCGCATAGTACCCCGATGTGTGAGAGAAACGTGAGCATAATCAACTCGAGTAAGACTTAGCTCCATCGTCGCGTTTGATCACAATGGCTACAGTAGCCAGTACGATCAATGACTGCAGAGCGTTCCCGTGTTTTCATCGATCCATCCATGCGGTTCGAGGACACGCACCTGGATCAGTGCAGAATATGGTGCACGAGGGACCACCTGATTCCATGTGGAGTGTGCGCAGGCGCCATCTTTTGTACTCTCGCATCATACTCATGCAATGATTACTTGTTTTCTGACAAGTCCATCACTTGCTGTAAATCGTTCCATTAAGAGTTGGTTAGGAGTTACTTCTCTTTTTTGAACTGTCTTAATTCTTTAGGTCGTGCTTGATTTTCATCGAGTCCACTAACAAACCAATTTTATCGTTTCCTATCAAAGCGAATCGAGAATTCCTTTTGAAGTTTCATGTTAATTAACGTTCCATAGTCGATCATTTCCGAATTTCACGTTTGAGAGAAGGAAGAAATGCTCTATATGCTACGGAGAGGAGACTTATGCTACCGAAGTAGTGAGTTGGAAAGAAGTTAACAGCAAATTCTGAGAATGGGGGATCTTGAACAATTGTAAAGAAACTCAAACTGCATCAATATTTGGCAGAGTCTGGCACATAGACAAAGCCACTGAACAAGACAGTGGGAGGCATTAAAAAAATTTTTTTTACATGACAGGTTCAAGGTTAAAGGCCTATTCCTCGCCCCTGTTAAAGCTTAACCTAAATCTAAATATAATCTTAATCTAAATCTACTATTAACAATTTTACCCCAGGCAATTTCAATGAACTATGGGTTATACCCATTAAATGATGGGTACAGGGCTCAAAGTGTTAATATAAATGTAAACTTAATCTAAACCTGACCTGAAAAAATAACCAAGGGAGTCTGTCGTTCCTCATCTCAGTGCCGAATCAACACCCTCGTACAAAGGGTGGGGGGGGTAGGGCAGGTGGGGATGAAACCGGAGTTACTCATCATTACTGAAGGAACGGACATCCATAAGCGACGGGAGCAAACGGGAGCAGGGAGGGGGGGTTCTCAACCCATGTTGGGACTTCGCCCTTACAATCTGACATCCCCCCCTCCCCTTTGCTTTCACTAGACCCCCCCTTTGGGGCAGAGAAGAGGTGGACCCGGTTAATGCGTTATCAGGAGCCCTCAAAATCGTTAATTCCGTCCTGCCTCGCCTAGGCAGAGTCTGAATCTAAACAAAGATTGAAAGTTCATTCACGCCAACTGCATCATGGCCACCGATGATTTAAAATATATATATATATACAGTATATATATATACTAGGGCTGTCACGATAGCAGATTTCAAAACATCGATGCATCGACCTAAACTATCGATAGTGTATCGATGCATCGGGGGGGAGGGGGGGGGAGGATTCCAATATCTCACGTTTGTGATCGGGGGTGCAAGGGGAATGTGTGACCTTCGCATAGAGTAATGAAACCTACCATGACTCCAACTGTCGAAGATCTGTAGGTAAGTAGCTACCTACGTAGTCCTGTCGGGATTAAAAGATCGTTCTACCCTGTCTTTGGACGTCGGCACCGGCAGATAGGAAACCTGCTGATGGTGCCATACCGGCGGTTGCCGAAACATCGGTACAAGCCTAGAATAAGCAAGGTCCATGTAAAAAATTCACATTGATTTCACCTAAAGTAGAGATAAAACCCCCAAGGCAAGTTAAAAATTAAGAAAATTAAGCCTGCATACTGAAGTGATAGACAGGAGTATAGAGAGGGGATTAACCAATGTACGTTTCGAAATGAAGGGAGTATAAGAACAGTCCACTTCCGCAGCATGCACCTGATGAGATCGAGCCAGAGAATGAAACTGACGTTAAAAAAAAATTTTCTTGGGCTTCCTCTCCTTCCCTCTCCTTTCCCATTTCCTGTCTCCAATCCAACCTCCTTTTTTTTCCCTTCCCGTCTTTCATATATTCAGTCCCAGCATTTCCAGAATTAGATTGTGATAAGAAATTCCAAGCTCATGCGGGTCATGCCGCTTCTTCCTTTACCCGCCCGGACGGACGGTATTGTACAGTACTTGCCTCAATCCAATGGGACATTTCCCCTTTAAAATACTTTAAAATATTTTGCCGATGCATCGCGATGGTCGAAAAAAATATCGATATCTCCAACTATCGATAGTGGTATCGATGCATCGATCTATCGTGACAGCCCTAGTTATAACCCACTTCTTGCCACCAGAACTCTAGTCGCATTTTAGTTACCGTCTCCGACGGGATTTAAATCTGCCTTTTAGTCTAGTTTTGTCTAATTTGCGCTACATTTCATCCAAAATCTCTTTCATTCACATTTTTCCTTTTTATTACAAAACACGTGTTTCGGTTCTCAAAATTCATATAGTTTTCCATGGGATCCGCCACTCCTTACAGGAAACAGTCACTTCAGTACATTTGCTTTTCGTTTGCAACAAATCGGCTTTCACTGCTCTAAGGATCATGCTGCTGAGTTACCGCGCGCCAAACAACTAAACTCATCTCTGATCAGATTCTGATCTAGTAGGCCTTCGTTCTCAAAGAAGTACATGTGCTTTCACATTTTCATTTTAAAGTTCGTTTCCGAGTCCTTCAATAGCAATCAGAACTTCAGCATAAGATTTCCAATATGTAATACTTCTGCAGGATAATATTTACGGATATTTTAAAAATGACTGCTTCCTTCAGCATATGATTTATTTTTTATTCTTCTCACGAACGGAAAATTAATGTTTCTCCTAGTTCTTGTTGACAAATGCAGACGTTTTTTTAACGCAATATCTATACTATTCATTTCAAGAAAACTTTCTCTAGCTCTGCCAAGCATTCGGGCACAGAAGTCATCTCATATGCTCTGCCAGCTATTTTCCGCAGAGCAGAAATAGCATATGCTTGCGTAGGTATTTACAATTGTGCCATATGAGAAAGTACACAACCCATGCTGCCCTTCTGCTAGTCACGTAGCAAGCTGCAATGAACCTCTCCTGCGGTCCTAACATCGTTCAGGTTGTTAGGGCTTTTTAATGTGAATACGTTCATTGCTGTTTGCGCAAGCGCTTCAAACTCACAAGCTGTTCATTCCTGTAGGATGGATATTCCCTTCATCATTGAATTAGAATGCAATTTCCTATCGATTCTAAACTTTCAGACTACAATCGTCACCGGTCGATGGCTATGAGATGGAAATCGGCCATCGGCCCACAATCCTAAGGTGTCCTTCGGTACAGCCTAAGGTATAATGGTCCAAGAATATGATATTTATTCATCGTTTCTATTCATTGTGGTTCACCGCGGCAACTTCCAATAGGTTAACAGGGGATGATAATAATAAATGAAATAAATAAAATATGTGGAAAGCCTATTCATGGCAGTTATTTCCTTCCAGGATTTATTCAATAATTTGAAGGAAAGGGGAAGAAAATGAGGATTGTTTTGGTACTCTTAATGAAGCCTTGCCTTTCGTTTGCTTATTGCTTGAGTTCGAGGGGCGGAGACCTTGTAATACTAATTTGTAGATATTATGGTTAGGGTTATGTGGGCATCCTGGAGCAGCCATGAGATGTGCCTCGCCCACGCCCCTACTTCTGCTATCAATATCAGTGACGCACTCTATGGCAGTGCTTCGCAACCTGTGTGCCGCAACAAAGTCCCTGATGTGCCGTGGTATTTTCGGAATGATAGGAAATGTAAGACCATCACTGTGTTACACTATTAAAAATTATACACATCGACATTGTGAAATTTGGTTAAGTATGCCACGAGTATCGAGCAAACTCGAAAGTGTACCTTGAAATAATAATGGATATCAACTTCTCTATTGTGTTTGTAATACTAACTAGGATAAAAATTGCAAATGGTTCTGCTTGTAGCAGTCAATGAATAGTTGTTCCTAACAGCTCTCTAAAATCCTGTGGTGAGTGTGTATGCCAGTAAAATCTTGATAGGTTCAATTGAAATCTTTAATGCTAAGGTTGCATTGAATGGGTATGAAGGAGAGGGGAGACAACANCTTGAAAAAAAAAAAAAAAATATATATATATATATATTTATTTTTTTTTTTTTTTTTTTTTTTTTGCCAGGTTTCAATTAATTTGCGTGGGTTTTAGCGCGAGTCTGGGTGAGGAACAGACTTTTTTTATTTTATACTGCTTTTAGATTAGATTAAGTTCAAATTTAGATAAAATTTAGAATACGTTCAGATTTTTAATAAGTTTACCAGAGGTGAGGAACAGCCCGATTGACTACACATTTATATGAAGCCAGGTCAAGTAGTTTCAATTTAGATTAAGTGAAGTTGAGAGAAGGGGAACAGGCCCTGGTTTGGGTAGGGACAGTAAGAGGCATCGTAGACCCGTAGACCACTCATACGTCTTGCGTCAATTCTAGGGGTTCTCAAGGATTTTTCCACATCGACGAGTCATTAGCTGGATAAGAGAGTTGCACTCGGAGCCATTCATTAGTCATGTCATTCTGTCCATTCAGACACGACATTCAATATTCATTTCTGTGAAACGACTGCATAGATGTTAGATTGCAAGAAACTCAAGGCCTATATCGGGCTCCATTACGATGTGCAGCACATCTCAAAACATTAACCTGACCACAAAAATGTAAATAAAAACGTGATTGTAATCATTCTAACCCTTGGCAGCACAACTCATGAACTCATTATCATACGTGTCCCACCGCCGAGCTACGCATATAAGAACGCGGGTGTGGAACGAAGGAAAAGGGGCATCTTCGATCTGAATGCTGCATCCGAATTCTTTGAATTCGCTACATTGGAGGTTAAATAACCTTTCTTGCTAATCTAACAATGGTGAAGTCAATAATGAGACAAAGAAATAAATGAATTAAGTTATTTTTAGGTGTTCAGGGCACATAAGGATACATTGCATGAGAATTCGATGCAATACACATACTGCAATCTCAGATCGACGATATGAAATGCATTCGAAGGTGGCTTCTTTTTAAGCAGTCGCCTGCTTCGGATGCTATCCCGTCTCACTCACTCCCTCACTCACTCGCACGCACATCCTCTCTCTCTCTCTCCCTCTCTTTATAGCTGTGCCTTTGGTCTTCACAAGTCAAAAGTATCTTTCCTTGTCCCTCTCGTAATTTCAATATAACAGAGTCCTTACTGACTTGCATTAAGAGTTCGGTATAAATGCACGATTCGCAGCTTCAGCACATCGCTCCATGGTAGATACTATCTACGCGATTTCCTTAGAGGATTCATTAATGACGGGCAGCGTTGGTCTTTTTCCCAGTCTCGGTTTGAGACCTCATGTGTACGTTTTCATACATCACTTCGCCTCTCTCGAAGTTCGAAACGATTAAGGTTTCTTTCTTGCTTATATTCGTGAAGACGGAATGGAGCATCGAAGGAACTGTATCTGGCTCTGGAGGAAAGCTCTTACGAATATCGGAGTCTGGAGTTGGAGCGAATGGATGGCGAAAAGGCCCTACAGCAACGATTCCCTCATGCTGTTGTGACGTCAGACAACAGTCTTCCTGTGCCTCGACTTCCTCCTTCCCCGACTCGAGTCGATCGTCTCGTCGTCGACAGCTTGCGTGAAAATGCTAAGGTTCCAAAGTCAAAATGAAAGCAGTATTTTTTTAGAGCTGGAGATTATTTCCTCCTCGGTCGCGTTTCTTCCAGTAGTTATATGTTCACTGCTTTCATTGCTCAGGTCATCACGTTGATGGGACAAATGGAAGGACTTCGTGGCTATCTTCTTCCATCATCGTTGTTCGAAGCCATGGCGGATTGGAGTGATGCAGTACGGGCTGTCAAAGAAGCACGTCATCGTGAGGTCCTGTCTCTTCATCATAAGCCTTTTTCCCCTGCTCACGGTTCTTCCGATGGTATGTTGCTGAAGGCTAGTGCGAATGGTAGGGGGAAGTATAAAATGAGGCTCCTCGTCATGGAAATGTCTTTTGCAGAATTGCAGTCATTGGGGGCCTGTGTGAGAGATTTATCTCGAAAGTGTCGAAGAGCACGCACAGCATTATTCTGCAGTCTCAAGATGACCCTGTTGTGCCACGTGGATCATCATCTGGCCATGTGCGCTGTTCCCATACGACAAGTGGACGATCGGTCCTTCTTCGTTCCATAATGTCCCTCTGGCCCAGATCTTCCTCTAGCGGTTACTCGTGTGTTCAAAGTTGCTCTTCATCAGTTTATGCATTATTGTATTCGTTCAAGTATTATAAGCTCTCACTCTGACAGATAAAGACATTGTTCATTTCCTTAAGCTTTTCTCTCTAAAATTAAATTCTCCAAATGGTACAAAAAACCGATACTCCTAGTTTTGACATTTGAAACATTGCGCACACCTAAAGGTGTTGGTGAAGGTGACCATAGATGGATATAGAGACAGATAGCATAATAAACATCCTGCATTGCTGACAGGCACAAAGTCGTTGGAGCTATGCGGTCTTGCATCCATTAGGGGCAGTCCCACTTGGGTACCACACACACTTCAGAGATTTGTCGCTAGATGGAGTCGTGAACCTGTCCACAAGCATGGCCGCTCGCTGACTTCTCAGTGAAAGTTGCCGGAATCATAGCGGGCACGATCGGAGATCTGAATGCGACCTAGAATTTAAAAAAATACTGGCTTGAGCTGCATGGAAACCTCCGAATACATCCAGTTGCTCTAATGGACCGTTTCGAGTGGTGTAACACTCAGCTGGAGGCGGGAGAATCCATCCTTCAGCGTGGCAATCTCATTCGATTGTATGATGGAGACGATAAGGTATGGTTATTGTGGGTGTAGCTGGTCTAAGCCTAGATCATCATAACCAGCAACTTTAGGCTCAACATCCACTGTTTTGGGTTTCTTCTAGCGGTAAATCCAAGGCTATATTGTAAACTGCTGTAAAATAAAGAAAAAGCTTATTTGTTGCTTACAGACTTCTTTCGATGATGGGCAGCTCATCCTGACCGACTACCGCCTCATTTGGAAAAAGTTGGAAGACTCAAAGGGCCTCGGATTATCCTTAAAATATATCGTTCTCGCTGAAGCAGAAGAAAAGGGATTCAGAGGAACACCCAAAATACGGCTTTATGTCAGTCAACCAAATGCAGGTCAGAATAAGCCATGGATACCCTTCAGTAGTTTTCTTGCACTACAGTAATTTTTAATCAAATTTGTACATTGTCCTGGGTCCATTATTTTCTATGACACTGGCAGACAACAAATTTACGTTTTTCTCAGCCATGAAATAGGTGACATTTTAGGCATACCTAGATGCAACTATGCTATCCATATGTACTCCAACTCATCACTGGATTTCCAGAAGCATGAGCTAAGGGAGACCATAGGAAGCCATGTGAAGAGACATGAACCTACCCTAGGTCTTTAGAGTGTGCCTGCATAACAAGTTGATCAGTATTTAATATGTGTAATCCTTAATTGCAGTTAATCCTTTCAGTACAGAGATTTTTTGCATGCTGCTGTGCCTCCTGACTGTTTTTTTTTGGGGAGTTTGCATGCTCAATTCTTAGTTTGGGCTTGAAACATGCTGTAATTGTGGGTAATTTAAAAGGTGCACCTACCATAGTAGTACTTTAGGGTGTGGTAATCGTGAAGCAGAGGTTGATGCAAGAAGATAGGGGACCATAAACACCTGATTGTACCAGTACAGTTGTAGTATCAAAAGGGTTAATATTAGATTGAAAGGCTGAAAGATTGCTGAAGATTATTTGACACTTGTTTAAAATCAAATATCACATTCTCACTTATGTAAAAGCTCCTCCATATTTGTTTCAATTTCGAAATTTGCAGTGTTGTTGCAAATTGAATGAAAACTATAAATCCATAAATAATCTCATTGTTCCCAGAAAAACTGCCAGGACCTGTTGCTCACAGTCCAAGTTCCCATCTGAAATTGGGATTCAAGGATGGAGGCCTAAAACAAATGTTGACTGCCATAGAACAAGCAGTGCGAGTCAGAAAATGGGAGAGCAGATGTTTACCTGTCAGAGGAGTTGACAACAAGGTTATTGGCAGTTTTCTTCTATTGATCTTGTTGAAAAGAAAGATGGAGTTTCAAGAGGTTACTCTCCGAACAGGGCAGGAGTTTCCGTTCTGGAATAGTTGGAATTGAAAGATCCTTGGAACAGAAGCACCGTGATGCAGATGACAGTATATCAAGAGCCTTTCAGGGACTATCGCAGCTCATTGACATGGCTCGTGATATGGTCGCACTCTCCCGGAATATCTCAATTAAAATCAAGGTACAGTCAAGTTAATACATGTGATTCCTGCTGATGGTAGGCTAAGCTTACTTATTGTTTTGAAATATATAGTTTTTTTTTTCCCCTTTGATAGGAGAGACAAGGAGCAATATCTGATGATGAAACTATTGAATTTAAGGCATATCTTCTCAGCCTGGGTATTGATGATCCAGTTACTAGAGATTCAGTTTCTTCTTCTTATTCTTTTCATGTCAAGTTGGCAGCAGAAGTGGCCTCAGTTATGGAAAAACCAATAAAAGTAATTACATGTATTTTTTATGAAAGGCATTCAAGGAGGAATTGATGTTATATTAATGATGTTTTGTTTGCACTGCTGTAGGAGGCTGGTGGGATGATGTCATTGACAGATGTCTATTGCAGAATGAATAGAGCCCGGGGCTTGGAACTCCTTTCTCCTGAGGATCTTCTGAATGCATGCCATCAGTTAAATTCTTTAAACTTACCTGTTAGATTCAGGCAATATGAATCAGGACTTTGTGTCCTACAGTTGGCTGATCAAGATGATGACTTTATCATTGCTGCCACTGCTCCTGAAGTAAGCATCTGCAATATCTTATTTCTCCAAGTGATTCAGTTATCATCTTGACATGATCATCAATTTTCATCCTTCAACCTTGATATGATATGTTAGGAGAAGGAGGCATGTAATATTTCTATTCTCTCTCTACAGTTGGAGCAATGTGGATCCTTGTCAGCAGAAGAATTAGCCAAAAGTGCAGGAATAACAGTGGTGTTGGCAAAGGAGCGGCTGTTGGTCACTGAGAGAGCTGGATTTGCCTGCCAAGATGATTCTGTGGAAGGCTTGCGATTTTTCCCAAATTGGTTTCTCCATCCACCATCCCATTGAACTCTCCTCTCCTGTTATTGTGATAACTGAACATGACACGAGTTGCCAAGTATGGCAAGTCTTCAATTCCGCTCACTGCTTGTTCTGCTTCCTGCTTACTGTGATTCACAATGGTGATCATGGATATGTCATTGAATAGATCAGATTTTTTATTCTTATGGTGTAAGCATTGGATGCTTTGCACCAGAGCAGGTTGATTATGATTACATTTTAGGCTGGGTTCATTTGGAAATTTGTTGAACTGGATTCTCTTACAAAGTTCAATTAAAATTAAGAAAACCATGTTCTGATGTGCACATCCAATTTCTTGCTACCAGTACCTGATTACTGTTAGGCCTATTGATATGTTCTTGTCCTGCATAGAAATTAATAATTCAATAAGAATGTTGGGTACAGTGAATGAAGGATTCACAACAAGAATCTCCTTTCCATGGGGTTCTTCATGCCCTATTTTCTTATGAAACAAATATGAAGGCATATGCCTAGAAATTGGATATATCAAATTTTAGTAATGGCAACATTTCTATGTAATGAAGTTATGCAATAACCAATTTCATTGCCTAGGGGAAAGTACATTGAACCTGGCCAATGGTTTGTGATGGCTTGGAGGTTCCAGGCATCAAAGTTTAAAAATGCAGTTGGGTCAGTGGCAAAGAAGGAAGAGTGGATTCATGGAATCAATGTTGGTGACGTTCGAACAGGCATACACCCATCCATTGCAGCCTCAGCAGTTTACATTGCATTCACAGAGGAAGGAAAAGGTTGGACAGTTGTTGAGTGTTCTGGCTTCTGTTTTTAGATTTGATGAATATTCACAAAATAGAATAATGGTGATGTATTTTGCTCTTAGGTAGTGGTGGGGTTGGGGTATGTCGTCTGGAACATGAGAAAGTGGCCAAGGAAATAGCTATCTTTGAGGTGTTTCATCCACACAATCAGACTGTCACAAACCTAGAATTTTCTCCCTTTGATGATGGACTCTTGGCTACAGCAGCCACTGATGGCTTGGTGAGTGTCATTGTTTGACTGTCCCTAGTTAATATCTATTAGGTTTTGGATTGGAATGATGTAGCCATGTAAAATACTCATACATGAGAAGTGATGTTCTCAAAATGTTTTATTTTTATCAATACAGGTGAAGCTCTGGCATGTGGGGGAAGGTTATAATAGCCCATCATGGACCCTTTCCCCTGCATTTGAGAATGGGATTGATATTCTGAGATTTCATCCAACTTCTGACTTCCTCCTTTCCTTTACATCTGAAGGAGAACTCCTTCTATATGACTTCTTGGAACAAAAACAGCTTATCAGTAAGATGGGAGCTGCTGTGAATCCTACTCTTGAGTACTCCATAAGCATGAATCAAAGACTCAGGACTGTAAGCTAATATGCTTGGTTGCAGGACTGGATAGCTTTGACACTGGAATCCAGTCATTGAGCTGGAAGAAAGATGGTTCCCAGTTGGCAGTCCTGGACAATCAACCCATGCTTACTGCCTTAGATCCTAGGAATAGTGTCACAGGAGCCATGAAGGCAAATGTGCCCAGCATTATTCCCAGGGATGCTCATGTCCTCTGGCTTTCTTCAAGCCATTATATCCTGGTTTCAGGACTAAGCAAAGTAAGAGAGAAGAGATGCTGGAGGCTGTTACTTGATATTTGCTGCATTGCTGATTTTTGTAGTTTTTTATTCATTGGTTTTTTCTTTTATCTCTGAGCAGTTTCTTGGCTTCATGTTTTTCTTATGTTTAAATTACAGACCAGACAGAGGGAAGCAATGCTATGGGACACTCGCAACTTTGCAAATCCAGTCTTCAGTCTTGATTTTGGAAGTGCAATCAGGTATGCCCAATTCATTTATTCTGCTTTCTGGCTAAGAAAGAATCAGTAGACTTGATGCTGATACCTTGCTCCATGCTTTTCCTCAGTTCCTTTTTGCCCCTGCAAGATCCTGAATCTGGCATGACCTTCTTCCTTGGCCGAGGAGAGCGAACGATATCTTTTTTGGAGTGTATAGAGAAAGGCCCAACACTGGTGGAACAGTCTCGCATTACAAGTGATCAGCAAACAAAGGCTGCTTGTCTTGTGCCCAAGAGGGCCCTCAATCTCATGCAGGCGGAGGTTAATCGCATCCTACAGCTTACACAAACTGAAATAATTCCTATTAGTTACCAGGTGCCAAGGAAGGTGAGTGTTGTCATAAAGGTTGATAATTCATGCAAATACCTCATGACTGTACTTTATGATAGGGTATTGTTGATTTCAGTCTTACAGGGATTTTCATGCTGATCTCTACCCTGAGATCAAGGGTATGCATTCTGCATTATCTCCTTCAATGTGGATGGAGAACCTTAATCTCCATGTTCCAGCTATGGAACTTGATCCAAGTAAAATTGCCAGCATGGACACAAAGGTGCCTCCATTCCTCCATCTATTCATGGTACAATTATGTATAGCCACCCTGTCAATGGCACCCAATTTGAAGTTTCATTCTTCCTTCATAGGTGGTGAAGGGAAATTTATCCTTCAGATATTCAGAACCAGGGGAAAAGAGAAAAGATTATGAAAAGAAGAAACAGATCTTCCAACCCAACACTGACAATCATAAGGATATGTCTCACATGGAACTAAATGGAACCAAGGTGGTAGCTTGGCAAAAGACTTTCTCTTCTCACTAGGTATGAGGTCTGGAAGACCAATAATAAACATGTAATGCTCTCATCCTGCAGCCTGCTGTTCCTCTTAAGCCAACAATCATGAGGCAGAGCTCAAGTGAGACCCAAGAATCTGAATGCCTCTCTCCCAAGGGATCTCTGATTTCAAGAGATGTTCCTGAGAGAAAGAGTATGAAGGATCTCAGAAATCAGTTTGAGAATATAACCAGTTCTAATGCTGTGTCTGATGCAAGAGTATCCAGGACTAATGAGAAGGCCATGAGTTTCACAGTGCAAGGAACAGGCGATTCTGAATCCACAGTTAGTGCAACAGTACAAAAGCTAACTGCTTGGAGTGATACTGGAAATGACCAATTTGTCTCTAGGAGCAGTTCTTTTCAGAGGCAGAGTTCACAGAGAAAGAGCAAGACCTTTGGTAAGATACTATATCCAACCTTTTTGTCAAGTAAAGCTTGACTGCTTAAACTCCCAAGCCTCTAGAGATTGAAAGTCACGGGTGTATTTCCAGGTCGGGTGGCCAAGTACCGACACTTAGAGGGAACTGTCCCACCCAAGAAGGAGGTCTTTGAGAATTTGAAAGGTGTGAATTCATCCCTTCCCACTGAGTGTGATGGCCTAGCAGGTGAATTAAACATTATTTTTCTAGTCATCTTTATTTCCTTGCAGTGAAGTGACGGTTATAAAATTATGGATTCTTGGTTGATTTCAGGGAATAGGAAGAGGTTTGCATTAAGTCTGGCAGGTCCTGGTGGAAAGCTGGCCATTCTGGAACTCTCCAGTGTAGGACGAATTCCAGATGGCGTTCTTCCATCTGTCATCAATGGTGCTTCTGTCACTGATTTCCAATGGGACCCTTTTGATGATGGTCGTCTTGCAGCATGTTGGTGAATCGACTTTTATTCTTGTTGACTCCATGACACAGCTTTTGATATTGTTTTTGGTTGGAAAATGATAGCATGTGATGAGGGAACAATCAATTTATGGTGTATTCCTGATGATGGCCTCAAAGAATGCATCAATGAGCCCCAGATGACCCTCAAAGAATCAACTGAGAAGATCTCTTTGATCAGATTCCATCCCCAAGCCAAGGATGTCCTCCTGGCTGCTTCCAATGAAGGAGACCTGAAGATTTGGGATCTCACAGCAGCAAATGTGGCAATCTGCATTTTGGACCATTCCAAGCAGGTGTGCATTTCATATGATTTTGTTACATGAGAGTTTTATTCATATGTAGCAGACAAGTTCAGTCTGTCTTATTGCAGGTGTGGAGTGCAGCATGGAGCCCTGATGGACAATGGCTGGCAACATCCTGCAAGGATGGCTACATCCGCATCTTTGACCCAAGGAAGAGTCCAGAAGAACCAGCAAGGAAAGGTCCTTGTTCTGACAAAGGAAGGGGTGCTCGAGTACTTTGGGCCTTGCAGGGGAAACTTCTTATCACCTCTGGCTTTGAAAGGTCTTGAATCTTGATTGGAAAGATCTTGGATCCCATCCTAATGTCTAAGGGTGAGGATGCTTTAAAACTCTCATGGGCTGCATAATCTTTGTCTCATCTTATTCCAGGGCTTCTGAGAGGGTGATCAAAGTGTATGACTCGAAAGATCTATCCAATCCAATCCACACTCAGAGCATGGATGTCAGTCCCTCTCTGATAATGCCTTTGTATGATGAAGATTCAGCAACTCTGTTCCTTTATGCCAAGGTAACAATGATTAATTCATATCAGGGATGATTTGTGCATAATAGAGAACTGATCACTTTGCTTGGCTTGCAGGGAGATACTACCATTCATACTTTTGAGGTGATAGAGGATTCACCTTACCTCTATCCCTTGACTCCACATCGTAGCACAAGCCCACATCAAGCATTGACACTTCTCCCCAAGATTATGTGTGATGTGAGGAAAGTGGAGTTTGCAAGAGCCCTGCGACTGATTGATGGGATGATTGAACCCATTTTCTTCACTGTGCCAAGGGTTAAGGTAAGTCATGCTATGTCCAGTGAATGTCTGACATCTCAATTTAATGTATGAACATGTTTTAAATTAGGCTTGTGATTTTAATTCAAATTGAGATCAATTTGAAATAAAATCTTTCCTTTCACAGAATGAGTTCTTCCAGGATGATCTTTTCCCACCTACCAGAGTCACATGGGAGCCTAGCCTCACAGCAATTGAATGGCTTTCTGGTGAAACATGCATTCCAAAATTCATCAGCCTCCAGCCAGATGATATGATGAGTTGTGAGTTTTTACCTTCAATCAGTTTTATCCCTTTCAGACCTGGCGTCCATTCCAATGGACATTGCATTTATATTGTGTCTATGGCAATTTCTTAGGATTCTCTTGACTGCACTCAATATTATGCTACATGGGGCGCAATTATGCATGGCCCAGTTCCATCAGAGGCCTTCTTTCACTCATTAGTTTTGTAATCTTCAGTTATTTAATTAGATATTAAATATATAATAAATGGTATGATATGGTAAATTTCTACAAAATATAAAAACTGCATATGAAGCATGAAAATTTCAATTACAATCACAAAAGAGCTCAAAAATGCAAAAAAGAATATTATACTGATAGCAGCCTTAATTCAGGTCTGAAAGGGTTATAAACTTCTGCCCACTGCATGGAAATTAGGTATTTGATGTTTGAACTTCATATTTAGTGTCCAGGGCTGAAAGCATTCCTCAGATGCCAAAGCAAGGGACCATGGAATCACCAAAAGTCAATGCAAACAACTTTATGGGACCTGAAACTATTCCGGCTGTCATGCTCAAACCTGGAGCAAGAGACCCTGACCAGAAGAAGAAGCAAGAGGAAGTATGATAGAACTGCTTTTCAGATGTGTCTCTTCCATCCCACTAATTTGTATTATGTATTGTGTATTTTATCTTTGTACCCTAGGTGGAAGCATCCTTGAGCAAGATGATGAGAATGGATATGAGGCTTGAACAAGATGGCATGGAAGGAGTTGCACCTCATGAATGGGTGAGATTTCCTCCCTTTTTTAAAGGTGAAAAAGAAACCTGTCTTTGCCTCATGTGGACTTTTCCTTTGTTCAGGATGATTGAAGAAAGGATCAAGGAATATTCTGTGAAACAAATTCTCCACAGCATGGCAAACTTTGGTCTTTGGTCTTACAGGTCTATATTTTTGTGCTTGCATTTTATCTTTTTTTGTATTTTATATTTTTCCTTCCAATTCCATGCATTATTGCGCAAAGCCCTGGTTGGTAATGAGTTGTATAATTTCTTATTTGTATAGTATATTTTTTTCACCTCTCCAGCCAATGCTTTATCTCTCCCCCCCCCACCCCACCCCCACCC